AGAGGAATGAGATGGCAACCAAAATATTGCTTGATAACCAATAGGGTTGAATTACAAAATGTGGTTTCTGTGGTTTGTATTTATGGCTTCATGGCTTTCTAACAGGTCCCTCTCTGTTATGAGCAGCGTTTGTGAATCAAAGCCTCCTAGTAGTGAAGGAGAAGCGTGCCTTCTAGGACTGGGCCAGACTGTGAGAGGAGCCAGAGAGGGTGGTGCCTCACTTGTTTGGTTGCTTCTCCCAAACTCACTAACATACTATTCCTTCCAAATGAAAGAGAAATGAGGTAAACTGAAAGAGCAAAAAGGAACTTCTGAAATTTTCCCTTCTAATGAATGGAATTAAGTTACTTCTGTAGAAACTCTCAAGGAGTAGAAGATTTAAAGTATCTGCCCACCCCTCCACTTCCCCACCCCTGAATAATTACCCAGTGTTAGAGAACTATTAAAGATATCTTGGTACTAAATTGAGACTTTCTCTTTGACATAATCAGAAAGAGTGAGAAAGAAGTAATTCTCTCACCATGTGATTCAATGTTTATTTTAATGTTTTATCAAGTCAATACTTAAATTGACCTTATATGCCACTTAACATCATTCTAGTAATCTTGAATGGGTTTCAGATTTTGGGAAACACAGATTTATCAATACTTTTCATTTTAAGGAAGAAAACAAACTAAGCAGTTAAGTAAACTTCAAGGCAAAGCTGCTAATACAGGGCCAAGATTGGACCTTAGTGTTTATCAATTACTTATACTACATTCTACTTTCTGAAACCTACCTTTTGTTTTATTTTTAATTAAAAATTAATAATTATGTGTATTTATGGAGTACAATGTAATATTTTGACCTTTTGTATATATTGTAGAAAGATTATATCAAGCTAATTAATATCTATCACTTCACCAACTTATTTTTTTTGCAGTAAGAACATTAAAAATCTATTTTTAGCAATTTTCAAATATACAACACATTATTAACAACCATGGTCACCATGAAGAGCCATAAACCACTAAGACTTATTTCTCCAATCTCTATGCATGTCCCATGCATGCCCCCAAGCCCCAACCTCTGGTAATCACCTTCCTACTCTGTTTCTCTCAGATTGGCTTTTTAAATTCTACATGTAAGTGAGAGCATATGGTATTTATCTTTCTGTGTCTGGTTTATTTCACTGTTAGAAGTGATAAACAAAATCAGTAAAGTCATGGGTTATAAAATCAACATACAAAAATCAAAGTGTTTCTATACCCTAACAACAAACTATCTGCAAAAGAAATTAACAATCTCATTTACACTAGTATCAAAAAATAAAATACTTCTGGGCCAGGTGCAGTGGCTCACGCCTGTAATCCTAGCATTCTGGGAAGCTGAGGTGGGTGGACTGCCTGACCTCACAGGTTCAAGACTAGCTTGAACAAGAATGAGCCCCTGTCTCTAAAA